TTTTTTAGTAGAGACAGGGTTTCACTATGTTGGTCAGGCTGGTCTCAAACTCCTGACCTCAAGTGATCCTCCCACCTTGGCCTCCCAACGTGCTGAGATGACAGGCATGAGTCACCGCACCCGATTCACACATCTCTTAAAAAAACTTTTGTTTTTAATTTTTCTAAAATGAGCCTGAAACATAGAAAAATTACAGAAGTGTATGCTGGAATGCAAAACTGGGTATAATGCTTCCAAATACTGCACTCAAAAGGTATACACCATAATTATGATTCTGCTTTGATAAAGTGAAAAATATGCAGTTCATTACCGTTCGAAAACAGGTGTGTCCAATTAGAACACCAGGACCCCCACGTGGAAGGGTGTAAGGTAGTGTACCCCATTCCAAGCAGTGACAGCAGCACCTGCCAACCAGAGCTGCCTGCCTTGGGGTCACGGCCACATTGCTGCCATGTCCCCAAGGCCCTAGCTGTTAACTCTCTGTCCCCAAGAGGCCTACCCAAGGGTCCCAAGGCTGTTGGGACCAGGGGCCTGGCAACCTCAGTGCTGCCTGACTTGGCACTGCCTGAGACCATAAACCCCCAAGCTGGCCCAACATCCCCTTCCTTAATGGGTATTAAGAATAACATTTGTTAGATCAAAATTCAAGGAAAGACTCACAGCAAGTCAAAGACGACACCATCAGGAGTGCAGACTGGGTAGACAAAAGGCTGCAGAGAGAGACTGAAAAAGAACAGAGTCATTCCTGGTCAGCTGTCCAGCACCGTGGTCAGGCTGTGGGCTGGCTGAGCCTGGCATGGGGACCTACTGAGATGCTGTCCCAGGGAGCCCTCTCTGGGCAGCCTGGCCACTTCCCTCTCTCACCAACCTTCTCCTCCAACTGCAATAGTGGTGTTGCCACCCCTGGTGAAGGACCAGAGCAGGATCCAACACCAAGGCAAGCTCCTGACATCATGACAAGACTCTGTGTTTTCTCCCAACACGACCCGAAGGGCCACATCTTCAAGGCACACTTTTACTCATAACCCCAGGCAATTAAAAAGTGGGCAAGATGTAACTCAGACACCTGCTGGAAGAACTGGAACCAAGGATGGGAGCACTTTTGCCATATCAATTCACACCCAATCTGAGTAAGACCACATTCCTATGAGGCTGACGACAAAACCTGGGCTGGGGACAGAAATCCTAGCCAGTGATACCTGGGCCTTATTTGTCCACTGATGAGTGGAAAAAATACCCATCAGCCAATGTGTGGGAGCCTCCTGGGGGTCCCCCCAGGCCTTGCTATATGGTATATGGTCCCCGTGGCCCCTTTCTTGCTGCAATGGTTTCTGGCTGACCTGCCTCAACTGAGGTGCCAGATCCCCAGGAGAACTTGTCAACTCTCAAGGCTCACCCTGACCTACAGAAGCAGAACTCGAGGCATAAAGGAGGATGCTATGTAGACATATGGGTGTCCGGGACAGATGTGACCACGGCTCAGGTTTGGGAAGACTCAGGCCTAAGGGGTCCGCCAGATCTGTCCATTCCCACAGTCTCCCTCGCCCTGAGAGGAGCAACATCCTTGGGGTCACCAGGGCTAGGCCCACTTCTCCAACAGGCCCCCTTCTGTTCATATGTATACCAATTTGGGCCAAAGCAGCATCTGAGTAGCTCTGTGCCTGGGTCCCTACCCAGCCCTACCAGTGACCCTAGATCACAGGTGAGGGGGAAAAGGCCTAGGCGGGGTACAGTGGCTCACACCTGTAATGCCAGCACTTTAGGAGGCCAAGGCAAGAGGATCACGAGGTCAAGAGCTCAAGACCATCTGGGCCAACACGGTGAAACCCCGTCTCTACTAAAAATATAAAAATTAGCTGGGCATGGTGGCGCACACCTGTAGTCCCAGCTACTCAGGAGTCTGAGGCAGGAGAATCACTTGAACCTGGGAGGCAGTAAGCCAAGATCACGCCACTGCACTCCAGCCTGGTAATAGAGCGAGACTCCATCTCAAAAGAAAAGAACCTCACGGTCTCATCACTAGTGTGCTGCTGCTATGACTGCAGAGAACCTGGAGCAAAAGCAAAGCACTGGCCAGGCATGGTGGCTCACACCTGTAGTCCCAACACTTTGGGAGACCGAGGTGAGTGATCACCTGAGGTCAGAGTTTGAGACCAGCCTGGCCAATATGGTGTAACCCTCATCTCTACTAAAAATACAAGAATTAGCCAGGTGTGGTGGTACATGCCTATAATCCCAGCTATTCAGGTGGCTGAGGCA